TTTCACCCACCCCTCCCTTGCAGTGTACCTCTTTTTCTGGACTGTTTTATATAGCATACCTAATCATATATTCCTTTCAAACAATTCTTTCGTTCATCTGTTCCAACACAATGTCCATTAGCCACTATTTTTCTATTCTCTCAACCCCGCATGTCAATTCTGCTCTACAACAGTGGTGTTAAGCGGTATTTGACCTTTTGTGACTAAAATATTTCACTCGCCATAATGTCCTTTAGGACACTCATGTTCTGTAATGTTTTACGAGTTTATTGTTTTTCAGTGCTGTGTAGTATTCCACTGTGGATATACCATAGTTTTTTTATCCATTTGTTTGTTGATGGGCATTTGGGTTGCTTCCATCTGTTTGCTATTTTGATTAATGAGCAGTAAACATAGATGTGCATACATCTCTTTGGATGGCAGTTCTGTATATTACCAGTAGTCTAATTGCTGGGTCAAATGACATTTCTATTTCCAATTTTTTGAGACAGTGCCAAACCGTCTTCCATAGTGGTTGCCCCATTTTACACTTCCCTCAGCAGTGGATAAGGGTTCCAACCTCTCTACAGCCTCACCAGCATTTGTTATTTGCTACCCTGTTTATTGCCCTATTGTTACTGGGCTGAGATTATATCTCATAGTTGTTTTGATTTACATCTCTCTGATAGGTAGGGATTTTGAACAGTTTTTTCATGTGCGTGTTTGCATCTGAATGTCCTCTTTCCTGAACTTTCTAGTCAAATCCTGTACCCATTTTGCGAATGAGTGGTTTATCTTTTACTTGTTGAGATCTTGTGCTGGAGTATTCTATAAATTTTAGACAAGAGTCCCTTAACAGGTTTGTCTTTACCAAATATTTTTTACCCAGTCTGTGTGTTTCCTTTTTACCCTGTTGGAGAAGTTTTTTTATATTTGTTGGGATTTGATTCTTCAAAGGTCCCATTCATCTGTTTTGTTCTCTCCTAGTTGTAGTTTCATCTTGCTTTTTTTAAGTTGCTGTAATACCAGATTATTTATTCTCCGGCAAACATCAGGCTGTTTTTCTGCTTTATACATTTGTGTTGTCATTTCCTCCTGCTTCTAATACTTCCTTCATCCTCCTGCTGCTGTATGTGATTGAGCTTTTCTTACCATGCTTCTCTTCTCATAAGTGGATGCCCTTCTCTTTGTTCTCATAATATGTAATACATTTTTATCATTACTTTGTAACATTGTGTCATAATTTTATTTTAGTCTCTTTCAGTGCACTAATCCTGAAGATAAGAACTATAATCTCTTCACTTCAGGTTTAAATAAGAGTGCTTCATCAAGTCATCTAAAAGGGATGACTTGATAAAGTTTAGATGACTTGATAAAGCTTAGATTTGGGGTGATGGTGGTCCAGTTAGAGGAAAATAAAGATGCTTAGTAATGTTTCTGTTGATGTAGGGTAGAAACAGTGATTATCAGCAGGCTTAGAATCAGTCCTTACGGGTTCAGTTATGGCCACTGAAATGAAACTGGAACAGACCTGAATTTATAAAGTTTGAATATATTAGAATTATAATCAAGTGAGAAAAATTACAAGGCATTGTCTTGCTTAGAAAACAAAGGCAGCATGCACATTGCATAGCAGCCACATTTTTTGAATGGCAGAAGTGAAACAGTGGTGCCAGTGAAGGTATGTCACTCACCAGAGTCCTAGAAATAATTGATCCTTCTGCATTGGACTCCTAAAATGGCTTCTTACATCTCTTTTAAGCAGGCTCTGGTGGTCTAGTGGTAACAAGCTGTGCTGTGATCCCAGAGGCACGTAGTTCAAATCCACCAGCTATTCAGGATGGACAGTCTCGTGCCGTGGGTTTTAACTGCTTTTGAAAACCTGGAGGATCAGTTATGAGTTGATTCTGATTCTACTGCACACTATGGCGATAATGAACAACATACCTCTTTTCAGTCTCCCATTCCAAGGCTTTGACCTGTAATTTTTCTTAATAATTTAAAAAAATTTTTTAAATAATCCTAGTATATCCCTATTTTACAGATTTGCTTCCTTCTGACTTTACTGGATCAGCCATGGCTTAAGCAGTTTGAAGCCCTAGTTTTCAGTCCTAGAAATAGGGCGTGGGGGGAATGGAGACTAAAGTTCAGTACCTAGCCTTTTGAGGAAGTGGAAATAAAAGGACCTGTGCAACTTGCAGCTTGGAAGGTACAGTGCAGTTGATTCCAACTCTTGGCAACAGCGGTTTGGAACCTTGTCCTGTCCCTCACAGTCTCTGCCAGTGCTTGAACTCACTGTTGATTGCAACTCATAGCAACAGCGGGTTGGAACCTTGTCCTGTCCCTCACAGTCTCTGCCAGTGCTTGAACTCACTGTTAAAGTCACTGTGTCCATTCATCTTGTTGAGGATCTTCTTCTCTTTTGCTGACCATCTATCTTTCCCAGCATGATGTCTTTTTCTTATACTTATCCTCCTGAAAGCATGACCAAAGTATATGCAACTAGGCTTTATCATTCTTTCCTCTAAGGAGCACCCTGGTTTCCCTTCTCCCAAGACAGACTTGCTTGGTCTTTTGACGGTATATGAGACATTCAGTGCTCCAGCACCACAGCTCAAATGTATCACTTCATCTTTGGTCATCTTTTTTTATTGCATAGGAAGCATTTGAAAATATCATCACTTGAATCAGGCCTACTCTAGTCTTTGGAGTGTCAATTCTCAGTAATTGATATTTTAAAGAAAGTTTACAGAAAACTTGGATTTCCATTCATTCATTGTTGCACATTTACATCCTTCCCCTACCAGTTCACTTTTCTCTTTAACAAGATTCTTTCATTGTTGCACAATTTCCTCCCTCCTTCCTGCCCCCTAGTCCACTTTGCTATGCACCTCTTATTCTGGACTGTTGTCATGTAGATAATACCTAATCATACATTTCTTTTAGACAGTTCTTTCCCTCATCAATTTAAATGGAGTTTTGATTATTTATACCCTCTTTTCTTAGTTTCCCCCCAGAGCCCATGTCAGCCCTGTATTTGTCCTTTTGTGACTGAGATATTTCACTCAGTATATTGTCCTCCAGGATCACCCATTTTGCAGTTTTTTAGTTCCTTGTTTTTTTTCAGGGCTGCATAGTGTTCCATTATGTGAATATAACACAGCTTCCTTATCCATTTATTTGTGGATGGGCACTTGGGTTGTTTCCAACTCTTTGTGTACAGCATAGCAATAAACATGGGTGTGCATATATCTGTTTGGGTGGCAGTTCTGGTTTCTTTAGGGTATATTCCCAGTAGTGCATCTGTTGGGTCAAATGATATTTCTTTTTCCAGCTTTTTGAGTAAGTATCATACTGCCTTCCATAATGGTTACACCATTTTACACTTCTACCAACAGTGTAAAAGGGTTCCAATTTCTCAACTGCCTCGCCAGCATTTGTTGTTTTGCTGGTCTGTTGAACTTTGTTAATTGTTACTGGGGTGAGATGGCATCTCATAGTTGTTTTGATTTGCATCTCTCTTAGAGCTTAAGGATTTTAAACATTTCTTCATGTGTTTGTTCACTATCTGAATGTCTTCTTTGGTGAAGTGTCTGTTCATATCCTGTGCCCTCTTTGCTAATGGGTTGTTTACCATCTCCTGATTTCTTGATAGCTGCTGCCATGGTTATTTACTGTGGATGTAAGCAAAATGAAGTCGTTGACAACATTTTCTTTTGAATCTTTCAGATGTACAAGTCTCTGTTGGACAAAGCTGGTTTGGGATCTATAACTTCTGTTCGCTTTCTCGGAGAACAACAAAGAGTATTTCTCTCAAAAGATCTTTTGAAGCCGATCCAGGTAAAGCAACAAACTTAACTTTATGTGTTTATGTTGATAGCAGTGTCTGCATAGAGTCCTGAGGGTGCAGTGGTTAGCTGCTTGATTACTCACCAGAATGTTTGCAATATAAAGTTGCCAGCAGCTGTGCAGAGGGAAGATGCAGTGGTTTCCTTTCCTAAGGTTTGCAGATCAGGAGACCCTGTGGGCCTGGGAGTGGGAATCTACTCATTAACGACAGCAACACCATCTGCTTGTGTGTCTGTATTGATGTATTATCCTTTCCAACCAGCTTGTGTTACTCTTGCCACCTTCTTCATAACATTTAGTCTCCTGGCTCTTGCTCATTCATCTTGGCTCTGGTGACATAGTAGATTTAAGATTATTCTCTTAACTAAAAGGTCAGTGATTACTGTCCTCAGCCACTTTCTGAGGGAAATATGAGAGTCTCCTCCTGTAAAGATTTACAGTGTTAGAAACCCTAAAGAGCATTTCCTCCCATCTTTTAGGGTTGCTGTAAGTAAGAATTGAGCTATCAGCAGTGATTATTATTATACTGAGAGGAGAAAGGGGGAAGAGACGACACAGATGAATTTAACTCCACAGATCACTACCCTGGGAATAATTTTAGTCCTAAAATAGATTCATCTTTTAGATGTCATTTGTGAAGCTTAATGATCTCTCTCTACCTGCCTTTGTTTTAGGACTTTTTGGAGATTGACTGGTTTATTTCCATGGTGTATAGATTTGGTAAAAGGTCAGTGGTCATTGCAGTACTGGGCTTTTTATTGGAAAAATCTGAAGCACTGACTTGTTACAAAGACCCACTTTTATTTTCGAGTGAAAACAGGTTCTCAGTCTGAACTTTATAATGTGTAAGTGATTAGAAGGGAATGCTAATGGCTGAGTGTACAGGTGTTGCTGCCAAAGACATGCAGTTTGAATCCACCAGCTGCTCCACAGGATGAAGATAGGCAGTCTCCTCATGCCATCTGCTGTCTCTGAAAGCCTTCTCGGAATCAGCTGTGAGTCAGTACCAGATCAGTGGTATGTGATAAGAGTGAGAAATAAATGCAATGAAGGAGGACGCTTTCACTTAAGTTAGTTTTAAGTTCATTTTCCCTTCATGTGTTAGGCATCTTGACAGTTCACCCACCTTTAAAAAGTTAAACTTTAAGAAGTAGCAGCAGTAGAGTTGGTGTCACTCAGTGCATTAACTCATGGAGTCACTTCCCCCTACTCTTGTGGGCATTGCTAGTCATCAGACTGTCCCCTGGTCTGTTGAGCACCCAACTCAGCCTCAACTTCTATCTACCACTCATAGTTCCACCCTCATAGCCCACAAAACTTTCCTCTCCCATTGGCCATGACATAGACTCTCCTCTCTGCCTAATGGCCATTGTAAAACCAGCATTATTCCCAGAGTCGGGGGTCTGTGGAGATAAATTCCTCTGTCTCTTTCTCCATCCTTCTAAGCAGTTATTTTCTAAATTTGCAGTAGTTCCCATGTCTTGAGTTTTTTAGTTAAGATACAATCTTTAGTTTCTTAAGAATGGGGGGTGGCTAACCTAGATCAGTTTTTATTTGTTCTCAGAGAAGGCCTGTTTGACATAAAACTGGTGCACTGTGGGATATTAATGTGATAAAGCCCATTTTATCTGGATCCGTAATCGGTGTCCAGGGAAGAAATAGTCAGAAAGTTAAAAGACTGGACACATCTTCTACATTTTGTTTTGCCAGTTTTAGGGCTGAGCTACACCTGACCAGACTGTGGTATTTTGAATTATGCATGTGGATTGATGCCTTTAAATGGTGATGATGGCAGAGATCATTGAATATACATACCTTGAATATATGTGCCAGCACAACGAGCAGCTCTGGCGTGGAAGAAATACAGCTATGATTGTCCTTAGAAGTGAGGATGGCAGCCCTTGTTTTATATAATTTGGTTTTTATCAGAAAGATGTAGGTCTTTCAGATCGAGAAGTTGACATCATGCTAGGTAAAGCACAGACATCATGATAAGTGAGATAGGCACAATGGCTGCAGCAATTAAAAGAGTGGTTTAGGATCGGGCAGTGTTTTGTTCTGTTTACAAAGAGTAACTAGGAGTGGGAGCCAACAAATGGTAACAAACTATAAAAGCTTGCTGTCTTATTCATCTATATATCCTTACTTGCTATCTTTTTAATATAATCCTCATCAGTAGACTGAAAAGTAACATCATTGATAGATGGGGGAAAGATTGAAATTGTCAGCAACTGTCTCTTAAGGTGTCTTGGGTCCACAATCAACACCCTTGGTACCAGCAGTCAGGAGATCTGGAGACATTATTGCATTGGGAAAATCCACTGTCATTGATCTCTCCAAAATACTTAAAGAGCAATGTCGGTCTTTCTCATCACTTGTTATGCATCTGAAAGTTGGACAGTGAGTAAGGATGACAGAAAAAAAAGTGATACCTCTAGCTCTGTGGTGTAGGAGAAGAACCCTGAACATCCTGGGGACAACCAAAAGCGCAAACAAATATATATTGGTAAAAGTGCAGTCAGAGTGCTCCTTGGAGTCAAGGATGATGAAGCTTCATCCCACATACTTTGGACATGTTGCTTGGGGAGGCTGACATCATGCTGGGAGAGGCGGAGGGTCATCGAAAGAGAGGAGGACCCCCAATGAGATGTATTAATTCAGTGACTACAGCATTGTGCTCAAATATCAGTCAATTATCAGTCAAGTCACATGATTAGGATGGCACAGGATAGGACACAGTTCAGGTCTATTGTCAGGGGTCGTGATAAGTCATCCTTGTCTCAGCACTACCTACCAACGTCTTATTAATAGGATGATAATAGTAATAATAATTGACGAGGGATATGATGTGTGCTCTTGACTTTCGCTAATGATAATAGTACTGGTCAGGTATTTATTTCTTTCTTAAAGCACTACTCTTGGAGTCTTCTCTTAAAGATGCATTTGATATCTCAGGCTTCTCTGAAAACCTTGGGACACAGGTGAGTGCAGTTGAGATTGAAAATTAAAGTCTACCTTTGGTGTTAAGTGTAGCTCAGTTATTTATGTGCTTAAACAAAGACAAGGCATAGGTCAACTCTCTGGCCCTTTCCCAGGAGCTGTGCTTCTAACCAAAAGTGGTACCATTCTGGCAAGTAGAATCTACCAGTGGCTTCTTGGGAGAAAGATGGGCGATCTCTTACCGTGTGCTAGATGGCTTTGGAAACCCGCTGGACAGTCAGATGTGAGTTGGTTCTGACTCAGTAGCAATCAGTGAACACTCCTTTAGGCAGACAAGAATTAGCCCACACTTTGCTGAAAAGCTCTTTGTGGCTATTTCCATTATGTGCTGTGTAATTTTCATCTGGGGTCTCTCCTGAGCTGTCCCACCAACCGCCCAAGCATGACGTCCTTCTCTAAGGACTGGTTGGTCTCTTCCTGGCCATGTATCCAGAGTTTGTGAGATGGAGCTTCAAAATCCTTGCGTCTAAGGTGAAACTTGGTTTCACCTTACCAAGACAGGCCTATTTGTTTTCTTTGCGGTCTATGGTAATGTTCAAGACTCTTCTCCAGTATCACAACTCAAAAGTCATCGATTCTTCTTCTGTCATCCATTCTTAGTCCTTATCCTGTCATCCATTCTTAGTCCTTATCCAGCTCTCTGAAGCTTAACAAGTAATTCCAAAGACCATGGCCTGGATTAGGCACACCTTAATCTCTAGACTGACATTGCTTTTCAGCACTCTGGTGAGGTGTCCCTGACAGCAGATTTTCCCACTGGAGTTCGTCTTGTTAACTTAGGGGAGAGGATGTATTTTTCCAGTACATTCCCTCTCTAAGAGACTGATTGTCCTTAACCAAGAGAAGAACAGGTGAAATGCTCTGAGCTCTGCTCTGCCTGTTTGATCATGGCAGGAAAGTGTGGCTTCTGGAATTAGGATAACTGTTTTTAGTACTGATTTTACCTTCATCTCCTAGAGTTTGGGTTTGGCAGGTTGTTCTATTGACACTCTGTTTGTCATTACTGACTGTGCACAAAGCCAGCAGATGGACTAATGCCAAGAACGGAGTCACTGACAAGAATTGAGTGGCATACTGAAGTCTGAGGCTGTGCAGTCCTATTTTCTGATTGGTCCCTTATCTTTTTTGTAAAGATGAATGCCTTTGTGATCTTGTTTAGATTAAATGCATCTTAGTGAAATAATTTGTTTTGTACAGCCTTAACAGTTTCAGTCATTGGCTATATTAATTAATCTCTTATGTGTGTTTCCGTATGTCTTCGATTCCTTTAGATTTGAATCCACTATTTCCTCTGTCTCAGGTTGGAATAGAGCAGTTTAGACTAGAATTGTTAGTTTGCTTACTATTTCTCATAGCCGTAGTTCTGTCATGTTAAAATTGTACTTTAAGCTACTTTTGCTATTACATTACTAGTGGAGGGATGAGTGATGAGAAACCTTTACTCGTAAAGATTTCGAGTGTAAGGAGACCCAGTGGAGGGCCACAATGCATAAGAACAAGCTTGACGGCAGTAGTTTGGTTTTATTCTCCTAATGCTTCTCCTTGGTTAGTTTCACTTTATTCTGCCATGCTCTGATCATTTGGTGATTTCTTACTCTTTGACCGGTCCCAGTTTTTTGGTGTTGCCAGTAGTCTGTTACCATCAAATGGCTGACTTAACTACTTTAATTCTTCTGATCAAACAGATTGAAATCCACTGACATTTGAATAAATCTTAAATTTACTGTGTTAAGACTTAAAAGAATTTTTTCCCTTTTTCAGGATGTGAATAGTCTCAGACTTTCCCTTACGGATAATCAGAATGTTAGTAAAGAATTTCAATCTTTGATTGTGAAACATTTGGATGAAAGTCATCTTTTACAAGGTATGTGAATTACCTACTGGTGACACTTAGCGATTGACCAGTGACGAGCTTGTTTACGTTTTAGCCCTTCTCTCTCATTTTCTCATCAAAATGTGTGATTCGGGGGGGTCATGCCTTTCATGTTGTCCTCATGTGGCTAGATGATTGAAGAACTTTCTTAATTCTCAAGCCTCTGAACTGTGGAAGTTAGGAATTCTATCAAATGATGAATAATACATATATTTTAAAGTTGAGCTATATCTTTGCTTGAAATTTTTTCTTTTTTTTGTTTTATTAAATTTATTATTAATTTCAGTAAAAATTTACAGAGACACTGGATTTCCATTCACTCATTGTTCCACTTTTCTCCCCTCCCATCCCTCCCTCCTAGTACGCTACCCTCTTGGAAAAGTAAAAGACAAATTCTTTCATTGTTTTACAAACCCTCCCTCAGGTCCACTCCATCATGTAGTTTTCGCTCTAGAGTCCTGTCATGACAAAAATACCTAATCACATATTCCTTTTAAACCGTTTTCTCCCTCATCTGTTTCAATGCAGTGTAAATTATTGAACCCATCTTTCTCAGTTTCTCCCAACCCCAAGGTCAGTCCTGTGACTGAGATATTTCACTCAGCATCATGTTCTCCAGGGTCACCCATTTTGAATAATATTGCACTAGTTCCTTCTTTTTCAACGCAGCATAGTATTCCATTGTGTGAATATACCACAGCTTCTCAATCCATTCGTTTGTTGATGGGCACTTAGGTTGTTTCCAACTCCTTGCTATTGTGAACAAAGCCACGGTAAACATGGGTGTGCATATATCTGCTTGTATGTCAGTTATGGTCTCTTAGGGGTGTATTCCCAGTAGTGGAATTGCTGGGTCAAATCGTATCTTTATTTGCAACTTTTTGAGAAAGCATGATACCACCTTTCCACAGTGGTTGCACCATTTTATACTCCCACCAACAGTGAATAAGGGTTCCAGTCTCTCCATAACCTCGCCAGCATTTGTTGCTTGCTGTTCTGTTAAATTTTACTATTCTGTCTGGGGTGAGATGGTATCTCATAGTTCTTTTAATGCTTGAAATGTTTTAGGTTTGGAATTTGAATCACAAAATTGATAAGGCATTATTTTGGTGATTCTGACTTTTCTGTTTGCTGTTATTGACATTCTGGTCAGTTTCATTGTCAGTGTTTTCTCTGAGCTAGCAGTCCTTTTGGGTCTTGTGATTGCCCCTTCTAAAACTGTCTACAGGACAGTAAGGGCTTGGTATCATGAATTGCCTAGTAGGACTTGGCCTAATACAGCATGCTAGAATGAATAAGTAAATACATTGCAACTTGAGAGAAATGAATAACAAGCTGGTGCTTTAAGGGGAAAAAAAATTTCCTTTTCTGATCTGTCTTCTTAAGTTCAAGTATGTAGCAGCATCTTAAAAAAACCTCCAACAAACTTGGAACAAGATTGTCCTGGATAATTTTTGCTTTGTTGGGAGACAGTGCAATTTTTTTCAAGACTACCTTTTTTTTTTTTTAAAGGTGACAAAAACTTAGTTGGCTCAGAAGTAAAAATTTATAGCTTGGACCCATCTACTCAGTGGTTTTCAGCAACCATTGTCAATGGAAACCCAGCATCAAAAACTCTCCAAGTCAACTGTGAGGAGGTAAGGTTGACAGTAGTGACCGCACATGTGCCATCATGACAGGGAAGGGAATGGTGGAGAGGGTTTCTAGGCTCTTACTGCCTATTGTGCTAAAATATTAGAACAGTGATTAATTAAAAAAAAATCACTGGGGGTGGGGTTAATCATGTGGTCATATTGTTTGATGGGTGGAGGAAGTAGTGGGGGATCCAGGGGGTGGGTTGGGAAAGTAGGAAGTATCCAGTGTGAGGGGCAATGTATATAAACTTTGTAGGTAAACCACTGTAAAATGGAAAAAAGAAAAACAACCCAACAAAAAACCAAAAACAGATCAATCACTTGTTAAAAGTAAGCCCTTACTGTTATATTTATAGAGCTACATTTTAGTAAATTCTTGTGTGTGTGTGTGTGTGTGTACCGTCAAATCAGATCTGACTGGTACAGGAGGAGATTGTCCCTCCTTTCCCGGCAGAGCATCTGGTGGATTTGAACCGTGCGCCTCTGGGACTGTAGTTGCAGCTCCTTTCCACTAGGCCACCAGAGCTCCCCTCATTTTAGTAAATTCTTAAGCACATTTTAATTATACACTATTTTGTTTTGTTTAAGATTCCAGCACTGAAAATAGTTGATCCATCACTGATTCATGTTGAAGTTATACATGAGAACTTTGTGACGTGTGGTAAGATACATTGTTTCTTCTTACTCCTCTCTTCTTATAGTAACAGTGATGGATGCTAGCTTACTTATTTTTAAATATTTTTAGGTAATTCTACAAGAACGGGAGCTGTAAAAAGAAAGTCTTCTGAGAATAATGGGAACGTGGTGTCTAAACAAGCAAAGTCTTGCTCAGAGGTATCCTTGGCTATTCTTACAACTTGTGCAGTGCTCTCCTTAATCTGACAGTGCATGGCCATTTATCAAGCTGTTTTCTCTCTTCTGTACTGTTTTCTTTCTACTCTGCTAGTTTCAAATCTTGACATTCATTTCTATCTATATTCAAAGCAGATGGAGATAATAGAAGTTTTTGGTTTACAACTTCTTTATAAGAAATATTGCATCTCTTGGTGTTTACTGAGCAGTCTCAATAGATTCGACAATTTCACCACCATTTCTTGGGTTATTTTTTGGAAATTGAGTTATATTTGTTGAATTAGAAGATGTCTAAAAATGTAAAGAGGAGGGAACCATGGAATTTTTAGTTGATTTTCTCTTTAGCAATAAGAAAGTTTGGTTGGACATTTATTGTAGTCAAAGAAAGTAGTTTTCCAAAGGGATTAGTTGGGTTTTCATTTGTTATTTTGACTTTGAGAAGTACAGGCATATGTGAATATACCACTGTGAGTTCAGATATCAGATTTAATTCTATTCTGAAGATGAGTATTTGAATCAAGAAACTAAAGACTGCTTTTAGGTGATTCAGCCCTTAGTATTTGATGCAGCACAAGCAAGTTAGATAGCTGAGTACACTGGTGTTATGTGCATAGTTTTTGTATTACAGTTCTCCAAAATGCTTGTAGGATGCTTAGCTCTAGCCTCGATGTTAGACTTTTTAAATTGATCAAACTACTACTATTACTAAGATTGTTTCCAGCATTTCACGAGGAACTGGGGTGCTTGGGGAGCATGACCCAGGAGAATGGTATGGGTGTAGACAGAGCAGAGCCAGGTAATAATGAATCTAGAGTACGAATTAGAGGGATAATGGATTGTGTAAGCTGGAATGTGGGCAGCTGGGTAATCTGCTTTCATCACTCATGCTGCATGGATGCAATAGGAAGTTTGATCCTTGACCAGAAACTCTAAACCCAAGGTATACCCCTCTGTTGTGTTACTGATATTTAGGCCTGAGTCTTGTATGGAAGCTCTTATTATCAGGAAAAAACCTAAACATATAATTATACAAATTCATGTTTTTACTTTTCATTTTTACCTTAAAAGTACAAAATAAAATACATATCCAAGATAGTAGAGATAATTAGTGCTTACTGTGTGCTATATATTGGTCTTGAAAGTAGCCAGTACCAAGATGTTGGTACCAAGTGCCAAGATGCAGATAGACATCTGCAGTCACTGAGCCCTCAGGCTGACCTGGGTTTCCAGAAGACTCTATAAGCTCTGGGGGAGTGCTTTGAGCAGCCGCTGTGCAGGTGTTTGGGGGAACCAGTTGGTGGGTGCAGAAGCTCCCAGAATGGGAGCATGTTCTCTACACAGAAGAGCATGTTTCCATTGTGACTGGAATATAGGAGGGCAGGGAGGCAGTCAGGAGGAAAGATAGTCAAAGATTTTAAATTCCAGAGACTGGCATGAGCTTTGTAGATGACAGGTGAAGGAGGAAGGTGAGAGTAGAAACAAAGGCACTGGTTGGGTTGGTAGAATTGCCTGCCATAATGAACCTGAAATGAGACAGTAGTTTAGGGGTAGAATACTGTTTAGGAGACGAACAGCACTTGGATTTAGAAGAAAACTAGGGGTTAGTACTTAGAGAAGAAGGAAGAATTTAACCAGTCAAATAAGTAGAGCAAGTGGAGTATCTGTGCTGTAGAATATCATTTTAGCTTGGAAAACTTAGTTAGCTTTTATTGCTTTTACCCACATGCCCACCAGAATTCCCTGTGACATGTTCAGGCTGTCATTCATGATGCTTTAAGGAGCATTGGTGGCAAAGCGTACATCATGTTGCAGTGCTAAAACAAAAGTTCAAGTCTCTAGTGATTTAAATCAGCCAGAAGCTCCGAAGGAGAAAGACCGACTCCTTCCATAGAAAGGTTGCTGTGGACGCTGCCAGGGAGTTGTGAGTCTAGAGCCAAGTGTGTAAAGGGGTTGGTACTGGCAATTAGGAGCAGGATCCTCTGTTATAGAAGGAAATAAGCTCGGCCTATCTCTCCCTCTTGTCTTCTCTCCAAGCTTTAGATGGAGGCTCAAGTTGTGAGGAAAAGAATAATAATCATAGAAATTATAATGTAGTATAGACCTAAGAAAGTTGGAAAGACAAACAAATATTTTCCATTAAAATAAGCAATAGAAAAGTGCTGAGACTGCACCATGTCAAAGGTGGAAAACTTCTGACACTTGGATGAATAAGTCTAGTTCTTACCTGAGTCCAGTTCTCAGAGTTTTCACTGAATTGCTGCCTTTCATTGTTGCCAGCAAGGTGATTAACCGCCTCAGTGTAAATAGTTGAGGGTGTGATGAGGAGTGCCCACATGATGTGATTGGTCACAAACAGAGGCCAGTCCAGTGGTGAAGGCGGAGAGCAATTTGTTTGGTTTTTGACAGGTACTGTCAAATTTGTGCATGACCTAATGTGACGGGTCAGTTATACCTTAGAACTATAAGCTTTCTTAGCTGTAGTCTTCATGGAGCTAGATTGCCAGATCTTTGTTAGATGGGTTTTAAACAGCCTGCATTTTGGTTAGTTAGTGGCCAGATGTTTAAATCTTTTGTCACCAGTGCCCCTTGGTATTTTGGCATGAAAAGTTTTAGAAACTTTTCCTTATAAAATTATTCTTATTTTAGAAATTTTGGATAACAAGAAAAGCACAGGAACTTGCAGTATCTTGTCAGTATTCGCATAGTTTTAAACATTTCCTTCCCTGCTGTTCTCCTGTCTTTTCCCCCCTTGTGTTTTCATGGAAACTTAACAAAACAAAGCCATCATCTTCTACAGTCTGGTCTGTTAGAGTCACTTAAAATAATGTGAAAATTTTTCAATATGAGTAAATATTCTTTCTTATCTTGGGTGATTCTTGGAACCATACTACGTTTTGGAAAAACTCGCCTGACCTAAATTTTGAGAAAGTGGGAGAAAGAACATTGTAAAAATATGTGTGCATAAAAGGTGAGTACAATAATATGCTTGCACACATTTTACTATATGCACACTTGTATTGGCTTAGTGTGGAGTTTACTTTTAGGGTAGTTTTTAGAAGATTGTAGTTTAGAAGGATTAGGTAGAGCAGAGTTCTCACTAAGGATTTAACAAATGATTTTGGTTAAGATAAACCTGTTTGCCATCAGCATCTGGCTCCTTGAAGGTCTTCTCTGCCTAGCAGACTATTCCTGATTTCTGGTGCTGCTTGAGTAAGTGGGAGAGTCTGCAGAGGATCGTGAGCCAGCAGTGTTCTTTTTAGCGTACACCATACATTCAGTGATACTGTCTCCATCTGCTGGCAGGGAGGAACTATTGCCATGACTGGTATAGAAGACCATCAGGGAATACTCTTCAGGTAAGAAGGAACTGACCCTTTGTCTAGCCAGAGCCAGTGCAAAGATGTGCACGTGGGCTTGAGCACTGGGTCTTAGCCCTATTGGGCTAAACTTCAGAAAAGTTGTATGGTTGATTTACTTCAGTTATGGCAATTCTTTTATTTAAGAGATTTTCACAGTGCTTTTCTTCATTAAGACTACTAATCGCCAAAGTTAAGTTTACTTTGTGTTTAGCAGTGTGGTAAAGCATAGCCCTAGGATGTATGTCTCATTATTCCCATTATGTGAATGAGGAAATGGAAACTTTCTGTGCTGGTAAATGTCAGAGATGGGATTCAAACTGAGTGGTAACACCAAAACGTATTATTGTAACTTTTAATGCTGCTCTTTTCTGAGTCCTTTAGTGTGGTGAATCCTCTTGGTTAAAAAAAAAAAGAAAACAAACAAACAAAAAAAAAAAAACAAAAAAACAAAAAACAAACAAAAAACCTCATTCTCAAATTTCCTTCTGTTCTTTCTTGCCCTCTTCCAACAAATTTGTTGAATATATGCTATGTGCCAAGTATGGACATATAGTTGTGAACAATACTGTCTGGATTTTGATACCACTCATGAGGCTGATTGAGAATTTAGAGCTGTTTCTGTTTCTACATACTAGGTGCTGACAGTATTCATTCACTTACCATTCTACCTGTAGCATCTATGATGTGTCTGGCTTTTTGATGTGGACATGAGCAGGCTGTGTGCCCATAGGAATATATATTCCATTAAGGGAAGACTGGCAATACATAAGTAATTAAATAAAGGCTTTCAGTGTGTGGTAGGTGCCAGCAATGAAAGATAAAATTGGGTATTGTGACAGAAAAGGTAAGAACGACTTGAGGGATTCTTCTTTAGACAGAATGAGATTTGAGACTCTGGAAAGGGTGGCATTTGAGCAGATGTGAATGAAGGCATGAAGCAAGCCAGCCCTATGAAAATTATTCAGAGAAAGAATAGACCCAGGCAGGAAAGGACTTAGGAGATTTAAAGACCAGAAAAGAAATAGCAAGTACAAAGATCCAGGGAGGAAAGGGCTTAGAATATTTAAAAACCAGAAAGGAAGCTAGTGTAGTTGGATATGAGCAAGGAGAGTGGAGCAGGGGGAACAGAGGGAATCATGGGAAACTGGACAACTGTTTTAGATGATGGGTGCCATGATCTGATTTGATTTGTGTTTTGTTGTTGTGTTTTTTTAAAAATTGTGTTTTCTAAAGATTCTTTGTGCTAGAATAAATTTGGGATAGGAGGCAAGACTAGAAAGAAATCAGTTATGTTCAGAAATGTAATGGTGACCTGGAAAGAAGGGAATAAATATCTTGGAAATGGGGGAAAACGTGTTGAATTATTGTGCAAATAAAGATAAACTACTATGTTTAAAACTAAGTTGTTAAGTTTTGTGGGGTTTGTGTGTGTTTTTTTAAAATTAAATCTTATTTTATATTAATTTGTCTACAAAGTTCATATACATTGTTTTTCACACTCTTTATTCACATTGTCTTTCATTTATTCCCATTAATTATATTTTATAAAATTAGTCAACATTGAAATATGCCCGCTATGCCCTGTCTTTCCAGATCCCTGTTGGATCTTTACCTTTTCCTTTT